GGCACTTGTTAGTAGTATCGTGCACTTGTTACTAGTAGCGAACTTGTGTAGGTAGGATGTGATTGCCTCTCCAAGAGGAAGTTGTTGTTTCGGAGTGAATCCGGGACGAGCACAGCGACCACATCAAACCGGATGGCACAGCAGAAACTACTTCGGAAGGAGGGGACTTGCAAACTCCATACAGTTGCAAAGCTCTGGTAGGGGGAAAGATCACCGAAGGCAACCGGATAGCCCCTCCGATTTTGGGACAACCCCATCATGAATGCACAATTCGTTCCCCTCGCTTAAAGAGTTATTTTCCCAAGGACACATCCAAAGACTACCAACTTCAATCCATCTTCAATTCTTTGGATGTGTCTTTCCCTTTGGCGTTCGAGTTTTGTTCGCTGTTCGGACACACCCGGTCGCGGTGTTAGTTGGAGGAGCTCAAGGAAGATCTCCGTGACCAGGTGGAAGAAGCGTTGATGGAGGAGAAGAAACGCAGTGCATTGCTGCCAGTAGCAAGGTGCCTTACTACTAGTAACAAGAAGCTACTCGTAGAGATGCACTTGTTACTAGTAGGTTCTTGTTACTAGTAGTAAGGCCAGGAGCCCCTAGTAGCGTCCTTGCTCCTAGTAGCGATGCCCTTCTTCCTAGTAGCTTCTTGTTGCTAGCAATCGGCGCCTTTGGGCTGGGACCGAAATTTGTTCGGCAATGGAAACGGGGAGAGAGAAGGCGTGGGTCGGTTCACCGAAAGCCACAGAAAGCCGGTCTAAATTGAAGGAAATCAGTTTCCACCATGTGTATGTGTTTAAATTGACGTGAGCACTAGGGAAATTTGAGTCCATTATTTGGTAGAGTTACCAAGTGGAGTTCTTTGCGATAGATGGTTTTGTAGAAGAATCTTCAACTAACACCTGTGATGTGGTCTGCATCAAACTCTCACCACATTGCTTTGGGCAATACGAAACTAAGTTGTATTATGTGACGTGTGTGCGTTGTAGTACAACTTGCATGTTTGGGGTTTAAATCCAAACAATGTGACCCAAACTGCCCTAGACTTGATGCAACACCCATGTCCAAAACTATCCCTGTTTTGCTTGGCCCCCAGCATTGTTGTGGAGGAGCTCATGGCCCAAGCACGCTATGAGCTGCGGGAGGAGCTTGAGGAGGAAGTCCGAAACGACCTCCTTTGGGATGGCTGACCAGCGCAACCACCTGAGCCGCTGCCTGTCTTTGACCTTCCCTGAACTGCTGGAGGTGTTCCAGCGAAGTGTGGAATGGACGTCAGACACCACAGGCATTCGTTACTATCCCTTGCCGTCAGGCATGCTGAGAGCTTCATGGCAACCTTGGCATGCTCTGAACCCTCACCACAGGGCAGCGCCCCATTCGTGAACGCTGCGAATGGCAGACGGTCTTTGGTTCGAAAAAGGTGCCGATGGCAGAAGTCTTGACGCGTGGGTGAGGTGATTGAACGAGATTTGCATTTGGGAGGGCTAAAAGGATCGTCGGGCAAAACCACTGGGTTCAGTTCGCACCAGGATGAGGCACTTCGTGGCTAGTTGTCTCTTTTTGACTTGTGGCAAACACTTTTGATCGGCGGTGTGGGTGTTTAGGAAAGAAAACGGAAGAAAATATTACTAAAAAAGGAAATACAAAGTAAAGAACAAGTAAAGAAAGAAGAAGATAAGTAAAAGAATATAATTGAAAAACGAAAAGATTACTAAAAAGTTGAAATAACAATTAGAGAAGAAGTAAAGAAAAAATATGTGAAGCAAAAGAATAAAATTGAAAAATGAAAAGATTGCTTTAAAAAACTGAAACAATAGAAGAAGAAGTAAAGGAACAAGAGAAGTAAAAGAAAAAAAGAGAAAAGATTGTCAAAAAAAAATTGACATGAACATTGAAGAAGACGTAAAGAAAGAACAAGAGAAGCAAAGAAAGAAGTGTGGGACCTCCTAATCCTTTCCGCCAGGCGGCCAACGGCATCGAGGTGCCGGGCTCAGCCAGCGGTTTTTTCTCTTTTTCTCTTTTGACATCTTAAGATGTGTTCTTTGTACCGTTCTTTTCATTTTGTCCGTACTTTTTTCTTTAGACTTGTGTGTTTCCTTTTTCGTTTCTGTGGACCCTTTAGACCTTTCTTTGTCTTATTTTTCTTGGTTTACCAATAGGTTTTGGGACAAAAATGGAGCATTCCCTGTACAACTTTTGCAATCTGGCGATGAAATGAGCACTGCTTTGCAACCAATGGTAAATCCTTGTGGAATTGAAGAGGAAGCCTGGCTTGTGCTTTGGACATATTGAACAGCCACAGACATTGTTCTGAATCTCGAGGTGCATGATATTTCTGGCTTTCCATGCTCAAACATACCGCGCTTGGCTTTGCCACAGCAGGGACAATGGCTGCAATTTTGTTGTTCAACCCACTTCCGGTTGTCCTCCTAGACAGTTGCCGTCTTGAAATGCACTATGTTCTGTTTTGCTCCCAAAGATCGCTTGCTGGCGGCATTCCTAACAACATCTGTGAATAAAAGTCGACATCTCTACTCTCCGTTCCGTTGAGTCAAAGCAGGATTTGTGGTCATCGCTATCATCCCCTAGCACTAATTCAGCTTGCCTTTGCTTGCTTTTGCCAGTTGATCAAATGCAGTCTTGATGCATTAAATCTCTGAAAATCTCGAACTGCATCAGCCCTTTTACATTCCGACTGGGACTCTGGCTTAATTTAGTAACCCTTTTTAGTAAACGGAGAACACATCAACCCTGCAAAGGTCCATCGACAAACGCAACCAAATGGCCTCGTGGGGGGTCTTCATTCTTGATGACTAGTAGCGTCCGATCGCTCCTAGTAGCGATGCCAGGAGCTACTAGTAGCTTCTTGCTCCTAGTAGTACGGCCAGGAGCCCCTAGTAGCGTCCTTGCTCCTAGTAGCTTCTTGATGGTTCTTCATTCCGTGTGCTTTCAGAAATAGGTAACTTTGATCATGGCTTTCTCGCTACAAGTGTCCACCCGTCGGATGGTTCCCTCACCCCATCTTGCGCCCGACCTGGTGCTGGCTGAGGTGCCAACCAACGGCAGCGCAGGTCTATGGAGGGGGTGGGGAAGGGAGAGCGCTACGGGAAGTACTGCAATAGGTAGCAACCCAAGCACACATAGATGGTCAAAGAAAAAGTGAAATAATATTCAGCTGAGGAAGGGATTCCGCCGCTTTGATTTGATTGCCTGCCAAGAACACTTTTCTGTCCCACTTCTTGGTAGCTCGCAATCCTGCCAAGTTCAATCACCAGTCAGGTCTTGATCGTCACTCCTAGACTGAGTGCCGAGAGAGAATAAAAGCTAAATTTGTGAAGGTGAGCCCTGTGGAGGCCATTGCTATTACCTTGGAGATTGCTACTAGGTTGGAGGCCATTGCTTCTAGGTTGGAGGGCATTGCTTCTAGATTGCAGGCCATTGCTTCTAGGTTAGAGGCCATTGCTATTAGGTTGGAGGCCATTGCTACTAGGTTCGAGTCCATTGCTACTAGGTTCGAGTCCATTGCTATTAGGTTGGAGGCCATTGCTATTAGATTGGAGTCCATTCCTATCAGGTTGGAGGCCAGTGCTATTAGGTTGGAGGCCATTGCTTTTTAGGTTGGAGGCCATTGCTATTTGGTTGGAGGCTTTTGCTTCTAGGTTGAAGGCCATTGCTTCTAAGTGTGAGGCCATTGCTATTAGGTTGGAGGCCATTGCTTCCAGGTTGGAGGCCATTGCTATTGGTTTGGAGGCCGTTGCTATTGTTGGAGGCCATTGCTTCTAAGTTGGAGGCCATTGCAGCTAGGTTGGAGGCCATTGCTATTAGGTTGGAGGCCATTGCTACTGGGTTGGAGGCCGTCCCTAGTAGGTTTGAGGCCATCGCTAGTAGGCATGAGGCCATTTCTATTAGGTTGGAGGCCATCCCTCTCACTTGAAGAAAGTGCCATTAAAGGGTCCTTACCTTCCTTGATTTTTTCTCGTACTTCTCTCAACCCTCTTCCACTTTCATCCTCGCAGTATTCAAGCATCTCAAATCAAGCATCTCAAATGTCCAGGGAAGACGGTAAACTCATTTTTGCTACAAATTTATTGGTACACATTACACTAGCATCAACCGCAAACAGCAGTGGCAACTTGATGTTCCTTTTTGCCGGCAAATTGTGAAATTTGTTCCGCCAGTGTCGAGCCATTGGAGACAAAGGGAGACAAAGCTGAATCATCTCAGCCCGTCACACAAAACGGCTAGAAATCATTTTGGCCCAGCGTCGTTTTTTCTGTGCAAGCATTGAGAACCCCTCACAGCAAAGCTTGGATAAGAATGAAAGGAAGGAAAGAAAAAGACCTAAATGTCTAAACACGAAGGGAAAGCAGCAGAGTCGCTTGCTTGTAAAGCTTTGCAGTTGCAATCCTTCTGCCAGGTCTGCAGCCACCACCGCCTGCCGCACCGAAAGCCAAGGTCGAACTCAGACAGGGGAACCTGTCTTCTTTGCCGTTTGGGTTCGCAATACTCCTTATTGTTTGTTACTGTTCTTGCTTTTTGTTCCCCAGATAGCTGCAGGCTATAGGGTTCTAACTTCTCAATGGTGTGGCTCTGGATCAGCGTTTTGGTTTTGCAGGTGCTGCTGCCGTGCTATGTTGGTGCAGGTGCTGGCGCTGTGGATCAGCGTTTTGGTTTTGCAGGTGCTGCTGCCGTGCTGATGTTGGTGCAGGTGCTGGCTCTGGATCGGCGTTTTGGTTTTGCAGGTGCTGCTGCCGTGTTGATGCTGGTGCAGGTGCAGGTGCTGGCTCTGGATCGGCGTTTTGGTTTTCCAGGTGCTGCTACTGTGCTGATGTTGGTGCAGGTGCAGGTGCTGGCTGTGGATCGGCGTGTTGGTTTTGCAGGTGCTGCTGCTGTGCTGATGTTGGAGCAGGCGCAGGTGCTGGCTATGGATCGGCGCTTTGGCTTTGCAGGTGCTGCTGCCGTGCTGATGTTGGTGCAGGTACTGGCTCTGGATCAGCGTTTAACGTTTTGGTTTTGCAGGTGCTGCTGCCGTGCTAATGCTGGTGTCGGTGCAAGTGCTGGCTCTGGATCAGCGTTTTGGTGTTGCGCGTGCTGGTGCTGGTGGCTGTGGAGCAGCGCTTCATTTTGGTGGTGCTGCTGCCGTGCTAATGTTTGCGCTGGTCCAGGAATGACATCATGTCATGCCAGAGACGACATCATTCCATGCATGGGATGACATCATGCCATGCCCAGAATGACATCAAGTCATGCCCATTTATGATATCATGTCGTGCCAGACATGACTAACCTATAAACCCACTATCTGGGGACTATGCCGGTGCAATTCTTGTTCTTCTTGTTATTGTCGTTGTTCTTGGATTTTTTCCTTTGATGTTTTCCTTAGACTCTTGGACCTGTTCTTTCTTTCACCTTTGTGCATCTTTCTTTGGGGTCTCAGCATAGTGGCCAAAGTTTTACAACACACTTGAATATACTGGTTTGCAAATATGTTTTTGCTAAGCTGCTACCGGCTTTCTACTTGAAACCTGCATATGGATCCACAAGGAAACCTCACACAGCTGCGGCTAATCCTTTCCAACCTGTCAATTCTCCATGACGGCCCGTGTATTTCCCAAGTCCCTCTCTAAGTTCCAACTATTGGCGAGCAGATAGGCCGAAAGAGATCCTTGAAGCGTGTAACGGCCTCTGGATTGAAGCGGTTTGTTACGCACAAACCCCACTAAGAGCCTTGGGCGCCAGGTGTTGCCATCTAGTAGTTTCGAGGTGCATCCATGGGCATAAACTTGTTGGAAACGCCATGAAATATCTTGACGTACAAAGTTGTAGGGGTTGACGCGCGGATCTATGCACGAATGGAACATGCTCCTGTTGGATCATGTTTGAGCGTCCTTTTCTGGACAACACTTCCATGAGTCGATGTTCCACCTTCATGAAGAAAACTTCATAAAGAAGAACCTAATAGTGATGGCGTCCAACCTAATAGCGACGGTTTCCAACCTAGAAGCGATGGCCTCCAGCCAATGAATCGGTTTTTGAAATTAATTAAGTTTGTAAAAACGGAGGAAGAAAGGACGGTCCAAAAGTTAAGTTGTTCCAAAAGCTCAGAAACCAACTCCACCCTGCGCCGTTTTGCGTCTGATCGGCTCTATGTTGCTAACTAACATACCTCTTACTGCTACCAACACCTTGCCTACCTACTTCCTTACTCCCCGTTTCACCTCCCACCCCAAAATTGACATGTTTTCTCTCCTTCCTTTCTATTTCTTTTCGGCCTTTAGACCTTTCTTTCGTTCCTTTCTTTTCCCTTGGTTTCCGTTTGTTCCCCAAACAGTGTGTTCACACTTGGGGTTCTTACGGTAGGTGTTGAGGCTGGGCTTGATGGAGAGAGCTCACTGGGGTCAGCGTCACGTTTGATAACCTTTACTGTGTCAAAAGTTCCGCTTGAGATGCTTTAGACGGCGCAGGCTGGCACAAAACTGTGGGCCCAAGTGGGTGCTTTCCACGAGACTGCGTTCTCGTTGCGTCGCCATGCACATTTTCGGACTTGGTGGTCGCTTTTCGGGGCAGGCGCAGGGGAACCCTCGTGTTTTGGGTTGAATTCGACTGGCGCAAGAGATCAGAACTGTTGTCCTTCGACGCGCAGATTTCGTGGCAGGCGTTGAACTTTGGACTTTGGACTTGTGGCTGGTTTTCGGGATCGGGAGAAGTATCGCGCGCAAGCTTCGTTTTGGCATCTGGGATGTGTTGTCGGCGCACGCACACTGTGCGAACTGGTTCACGACGTGCACAGCTCATGGCAGGCGAAGTTGTTCTTGCCTGCACAGATGTTGCGCAGACGCAGCACTTAGTAAAACTCGAAGTGCAGATCTCATGGCAGGAGCAGCGCTTGGTGATCCTCGCTGCGCAGAATTTGTCGCAGGCGGAGCACTTTGTTCTTCTTGCTGCTCAGATTTATTTCGTGGCAGACACCACAGAGTGCAAATATGCGCTCTTCTATCTGAACTCTCGCATATGTGTGTTTGTACCCTCTCATGCCTGTGCGCACATGTGTGCTCTCATATTATGTGTTCTCAAATGTGTGTACGCTCTCCTTCGTTCTCTCGCCCGTGTGTCCTCACATGTGTCCTTTTTTCGTGTGTGCGTTCATAGGTCTCATGATGTCTCATGTTTGTGCTTTTGAGTGCGAAAGTTTGCTTGTTGACCCTTGTCTCGTTCTACTTAACACTGTATCGGCCCTTTTGCCCAATATTTTCTTCGTTAAAAAGGAGACATGTTTTTGGTGGTCGCGCCTCTATGGGGCCGGGCGTATATGCATATTTTGAGCTTTTGTGGCTATGACGTCACTTGTACCTGCGAACATGCTCGATGCTACGTCATAGATGTGGTGGGGTGGGGTTCTATTGACGTCACT